AGATGGCCGACATGGCTAAACATAGAACATAGGGGTAAAATGCAAGTTTTGTCTATTATTTTGAAAACCGTTATAAATAGAGAAAATCTGGCTGGAGCAGAAATGTTTAGAATGCTGAGCTCTACCAATTGTCCATATACGTAAAAACTGACAGACGACTTCTTATAGCAGTTATTGCCCTTAAATGACAAATTTTTTATCCTGAAAACTATAACAGATAGAGAGAAACTTTACATTGCAAAAATAATCACCAAGACAAGATCTACAAATAAGTCCACATTGTTAAAATCGTCAGTCGATCCCTATTAGAGTTATTGCCCTTTGATGACGATTTTTACCAATTTTTTGCGTTTTTGCCTTATATCTTAAAATTTATAATAGATAGATAAAAACTTAAATAAGCAAAAATGATCAGCAAGACAATATCTACAATTAAGACACTTAGAGGAAATCTTCTGACGACTCCTTATTGGAGTTATTGCCCTTTAATGACGATTTTGTTTTTGCGTTTTGCCTTATATGATAAAAAATTATAATAGATAAATATACACTTTAAATCACCAAAAAAGTCAAGATCTACTAACAAGGCAAATTTTCCGATATAGTTAGTAGACTGTCACTTTTTATAGGAGTGATTGCTCTTAAATGAGGGATTTTTGTTACCCTCTTTTGTGTTTTAAGCAAAAACTAAAGAAGATAGAGCGAACCTAAACAGACTAAATGATCAGCAATACAAGATCAACAAAACAGATTTGTCATGAATTCTATTCTCGTCTACAATGCTGGAGAGTGTCCTTTGTTGAATATGCACATAGACCAAGGTGAGCGACACAGGATATCTAGAGCCTCTAATTTTAGTATAAATATTATCAAGTAATTAATTGGCACTGATTGATCATTTCTTTGTCAGTGCCAGGATCTCAAGACTAACCGTCGGGCAACTTTTAACTCGTTCGATTTGTTTATGTAATATCTATAGAAAATTGTGCCATACCTAACATGAGTTATGTCAATGATCTGTCGCGAAATTTTACTGCAGTTTGTATCAATCGGTATGACTATATTCTCACGAGTACATATTTGCGAAATATAACGACTGTCCACAACAGACCGCTAGGACTGAAATTGATCGATTGAGGGTATATTGCCATTAATGACTTCAAAGTCAAAACGGTTTTATTTAAAGTTGACGTGCATAAATTACAAATAACATAAGCTTTGAAGGTTTTTTTAATCGACCACACAAAATAGTACAGTACATTTAAAACAAAAAATACACATTACATAAAGACAATAAAAACATACAATATTTTGTGTTTTTTACAGCTAAGGTTACTAATGCATGTCAATATACAAATAGGGATATGTATGATTAGACAACTATCCAACAGAGTCCAAGTGACGGGATCGATGAACTATAGGTCACCGTCTCAGACTAATCTCAGTCAAGGATTTGTATAGTATACAGTTTACCGGCGGTGAGTTTTGGTAAAACAAATAACTCCGCAGATATAGATTTCCCGGCTTTTTACCCCACTGATACAGATAGGTGACTGATAGGCGACAATGATATTATAGTATTCATCCTTGTAGGCGATTAACAATATGTAAAACTGATTATTCTCAAAAAATATTTTCCGACGAAAAGATTTTCTTGGAACTTTTTGTCTTGTAGGGAGAAGGGAAGCATGCACTGCTTATGTAAAGGAAATTTTGTCCCATAAAATAATGTCCCCCGAGACAAAAAAAAGTCATGATTGTTGATTATTATATTTTGTCCTTGTCTAGGAAATGATATCCAGAGTAGAACAATTTTCCATATAATTTTTTTTTTCATTTGAAATTTTGTCCATATTGTGACGTCACAATATTTCATAGTTTGATAGTAATGACATTTTGTATCGTTAAAGGTTAAAGAATACCCATAGTTATATTTTGCCTAAGCCTGGCATCCAGTCACCCAATATCCTTTTCGCGTGAACAAAACACCGAAAAAAATCTAGGAAATACCAGAACGAGCACTCAGATTTATTTACGACGACTACAAACATCCTACTTAAACAGTACAAAGGTATAGCTGATATACCACGACCGAAAACAACAATGTATGGTAAGAAAAGCTTTGGTTGCTTGAAGACTATGGAATTTATTTCTTCTGGGTTGTTTATATAAAATTGTACCTGTAGCTCATGCAAATAATGACATCCATTGCTGTCCCACAAATAAACGTTTAAGCCCGCGTGAGTTTCATTTATCTTTTTCTTCCTTTTTTGATTTTAAAACTTGATATATATAATAGTTTGCTGTCTTTATCTATCACTTATGAGCTATAGTGGTGCTAAAGCGTCAGTAAACTATGCTTTTCTTGCTTACATTCATATATTTGAGCTTCTCCTAGTGGCAATAATTTTTGCATGTGTGGTTTGTATTGTTATATGTTATATTTGCATTGCTTGTATGTGTTTCATGTGAATATGTTGTCAGTCTGTTCTTTATACTTCACGTACTTTGTCTGTATTGATATTCATACCTGCCACTATCATATCTTGAAATACCGTATAATACCTCCAGATATCCGAGCTTTCCCGTCTGTGGATCATTTCAAGTCGACACGCCATTCAAGCTGCCAGCGTGTCGATACTACTCCACAACTAATTCATACCATCTTACGTTTTAACTGTGCATATATACAGACTTCACTTATTTTAACTGTACAACTGTACATACTTGGAAGTGTTTAGCTGTTCATAGCGCTGGAGTTTCCACACTCAAAACGTGAGTCCACACCTCGCGTGACGGAAACAGGGGCGTTTCTAGGATATTTGAAAGAGGTGGTGTAGAATAAAATCTTTGGCCGAGCGGAGCGAGGCGAAAATATTTTTTGACTTTTTTTTGCTAAAAAACATAAAATAATTGTGAAATGCACTAATGAAACGTTCCTGACTTGGACCATGTATATTTTATAGTTAAAGTGTCAGGGTCTAACATTTTTTATGCCGAATTCTCTCCATTAATTGCCTATGGTATATTTAAATGATTGGATGGATCTTAACCGCAGTAGACCAATAACGAGAAATTCCAAATTCTAGTGTATAAGGCGTTACTTAACATTTCAATAGTCCTAGGCCAGGATTTTATGAACGGGAGGCGTAATTACGGTTGCCCTGGAAGAGGGTCCATGGGGAAGCTCAGAAGCTCCTGGATTTCAACAATTTAGCATCAAATTATGAAGTAGCCAGACTGATAAATATCTTTCTATTTTAGATTAAGTTCTGGTTTCGTTGAACGACACACATGATACAAGACAAACAAACACTGAAGTATAAAGTTCTTTCGTTCTAAATATTGTAGGCTTTAATGTGGAATACATGGTTGAACATGAAACATTGACGTCATTGTACTACAGTATTAAATGAAAGCAATCATGTTACTGCCTAGTTCCGATAGGTGGTATATGGAACCAATCTAATTAAAATATAGAACTCGGATTTCGTTATATGTAGTATAACGAAATCCGAGTTCTATATTTTAATTAGATTGTATATGGAACATAAATAAATATGGTGCTTGAACTTCATAGCAAAATGTAGGTCAATGTCACTTAGTTACTCACTAATGGATATTGAAACAATATGATACTATCAAAGGCTATCCACATGGGAAGTAAAAATGCTATACCAAATATACATGTTGCTAGTATAAATGTACCTTAACGCAAAACCTAAAATGAACACAGAAATACTGACGGACTCTAATTTTCAATGAATGGTTAGACTAGAGTGGATTCATTAGAACCATTTTACGCGGATTTCTCATGGCGTAATCGTCAATTATTCTATCATAATCGAGTGCAATGTCTCTGTGAACATAAAAAAGAAGCAGAGCATTTAGACGATCCTCCTTCATGGTGCTTCTCAAATCATTCTTGATCAACTTAAGTGATGAGTTAGCTCTTTCGGCGGAGCTTGACGTGACGCTCGTCAAAGCAAGTAAGAAGAGAACTTTCATGATGTTTGGAAATAAAGTCGAGCATGCCCTCACATCAGTTAAGGTTGATGTAATTGACTCTGGTTTGTCCGGTTGGTTTTGAAAAGGGGGGCGTACGCCCATTACGCCCTCGCCTGGACCCGCCCCTGGGAAAGATAGACAGATATCTTATAAATTCTTTTAATTCCTCCGTGTGTGTTTTATTTGTATATGTTGTTTTGCTTTATATGTTGCTTTGCTTTATTTTTTGCATTCGCTTTGTATTTAATGATATGTCATGGATACATTTATTGATTTTAAGTCCTCAATATGTATCTGTTGCTATTCAATGATTGCAGGATCCTGTTATGTTATTATGTGATCTTATATATCAGTCGACTGAAGAGCTCTAAAGAGCTCATATTATGTGTTGATTTGTATATACCAGGGCTTTATTTTATGATACAAACAAGCAAACAACAAACAAACTTACAAATACTTTATTTGCCAATCACAGCGCCCAAAATGAGCAGAATTATTACAATAGACATTAGACATTATTTTATTTACCAATCATGGGCCTTTGTCGGGCTTGATATATAAACATCATAATACAATGAGTATTATAAAACATGCAAGTTTTAGTGAAAATACACAATACACAACAAGACACAAAGAAATAAAGTAAAAAAATAGAAATGTAGGATATTATTACAGTATAAAGCATATTAAGTGTAATGAGGTCGGTTTAATATAATAAAAAAATAGATACACAATTTATTAACAGGAAATAATAGAACCAGAAATATAGTTTCTCATTTTGTGATAGTTAACATATACATAAACCACTTTGAGATGACCCATGAAATAACACGATGTTCATGTACAAAGATCTTTGTGTATATAAGTTTTATTTTTCTTTATAAAATATTTGAAGGTAAATAATTACTGATAATAGAGTTTATGCTTTTTATCACGTCTATTTGTCATGAGATATTTTTTTATCTAAATTATTTTGTACTTTGTATATCTGCGAACAAGGAAAATGGCGGACGGAAATCTGGAAACGGTGGAAAAAAGAATTTCATTACTTGAAAATCTTGTGTTTGGAACTTCTGAAAAAGACGCCCTTTATCCAAAAGTATGACTTGAAAACAGTTTTTCTAGATTATCCCTATGCTATGAAAATCGAGGATATATTTTAAAATGGAAACCAAAATCTTTGTTTAATACAAGTGGGTTAATTTTTTTTATTTGAGATCAATAATGTATCAGGTTATTCCGCCAATAGATATTTTTCATAAAGTATCAGGTTTTTGGGGAATTTCAACAGGAATATTAACCAAAAATCCCAGGTTAAATTTGATTAATGTTCATGAGGTTAGAGTATCCTCTCAAAAAATTTGGATATCATTCTCATATATTTAAAAAAACAGGCAGAATTCCTAATTTTTGGCTATTTATATGTCAACATATATTTGTTTAGTGTAACAGATGTTCCACTGTAGCACTTGAAACTTTGTCATAAACAGAAGGAACATCTATTTCATGAAAGCCCTTTGTTTCATTCTGTAATGAGGGTGGTAAAGGGGGGTCTGAACACGGAAACACGTGAAATAAAAATCACAAAATTGTTGCACGAAAAAAAAAATCAGGAAAAAACGAAGCACGAGATATTAAATTGTAAATATTAAGGAAAAAAGTACTAGAAGTTATTACTCAGCCGTTCTTGGAGATCATGAAATCATTATTAATGGACATGAAGACCCTGTGGTCACCTTTTAGCGTCCACTAGTTGCTTCTGATTTAAATAAATATTATTCATTGTAATTTGATGGACTTTATTACATACCATACATATACAATAGAATTGCAAAAGTAGAATTGTAACAATATACATCAGTTCATTAATACATAATTTAAAACAGTATCCGGGCTGACTTTGAATTAGTCCCAGTTTACTTTTTAATCAAATGTGGGACAAGCACAAGAAATTAAGAGTACCAACACGAAACATGGAATATAAATAAGGGGAAACACGAAGCACGCACATCGAACCAAATACGAGAAAAGGAGAAATAAAATGTCAAAACACGAAAACACATGAAATTAAAAGGCAGAAAAAGTTGCACGAAAATAACTCTTTACCACCCTCTGTAATATAAATAAAAAACAGCCTAAAGTGCACAAATGCAGAATAATAAAATTTTATTCCCTGAATTTTAGTAACTTCTTAAACCTACATGTAAATGAGGATCTTCTCCAACCTGTTCCTGGTTATTTAATGGTTTCTTTGGCATGTTTGGAATGAAGTTAATGTGCTTGCTATTGGTGTTTAAACTTCAACAGGAAATGAACAGATTGACAACCCATTATAAAGTAGGAAATTCCAATCGAATTGATTGATTTTCATCAAATTCGATTATTACATATACAATGTATGGCTTAGACTTTCTGAAACATCACTAGGACATATGCTCAATTCTTTTAAAAAAAACAAAAAGTTTGGCAAACTTGAACAGTCCAATCTAGTTGATTATCTTAAAATGAAAGATTAAACACACATACATGTAAATGTAATGCATAATTTGTCATGTTGGCCTAAGGCCCTTTGATAGTTGACTATACAGTATGGATTTTGCTAATTGTTGAAGGCCATATGGTGACCTATACATATATTTGTTTACATCAACATCATTTAGATTCTGATGGATGGATTTAGTTAAAGTTGATTTGCAAATTCATAAAATTTTGAATGATCTACATAAAACATTACTGTAACAAAACATATTTGACAAACATTACACATTTACAAATATAAAAATGGGCACAATATTAAATGAAAAGTGTGTTAGTGCAGCAAGCAGATTTATAAGCATATTAAGCTGCATGAGCTATCACAAAATTAATAAATAAAGCTTAGCACTTAAATTACATTTATAGATCTGCATGCACAGTAGTATTGGCATGATGAGCCACATTTTGTACCATTCAATATAGATATCATTTTTGTAGACGTGTCCCAAACTGTTCAAAAAACCTCATCCAAGCTGAATTTGTAGATCCATTTAGTATAGATATTCCCCTGAAGAATTTTCATCATTAATCATGTTGATGTTTTTTTTTTTGTTGGATAGCCAAATCAGAAATTCAAAATAACAAAGAAAATTGATGGGTTTTTAACATTTTCTGAATTTTTTTTTAAATCAGAATGAACAGAGGTAGAAATAAGATTTGACCAAGCTGACAATCTTCTTTATCATGTTCATATATCAGTCAGACCTCAGACATAAATAAATCTAATTTTGCTTTTGACTTGTAGAAGTCTAAATTTGCATTTTTCATGGGTTCTCTCCCTTTATTTTCATTTAAAACAAAAACTATGACTTCAACAAGTTAATTAATGTTAATAGTTTCCTTGTAAGCACTGCAGCAACCCTCAATCAAGAATTTTTTTATACTAAAAGCAACTGGGAGACATAGTGTTTATAAGCAGGGCCTGTTTGAATGTTGCTACATAGAAATGAAAAGTTCATAATTGGAAATCTTAAATTCAGAAAATCGTCATTGTTTTCTAAAAGTTTTATTTTCTATTGACCATGTTGACCCTCATTGTCAATTTCTAGATGTTAGTTAAGATATAATGCACACTAAACTCTATCTGTGGTAGCCTTTTTCAAGGTATACATGTAGATGTGTTCAACATAGCCACCAAACTTTGAATTATTTAGCGAGAGGACATCATGATCTATATCATTTATATAGTGGAACATGATTCAAAAGGATAATGTTAGCTTTTTATACGCCCGTTTACGAGACGTATTATGGTATACCGTTGACCGTCTGTCCGTCCGTCCGTCCATTGTCAACATGTCCGACATTAATTCAAAAACGCTTTAACCAATATGCATGAAACTTTGGTGAATTGTTTATATCTATTGATGTGAGCTGCCTTTCGTTTTTTATAAATTTTAGATTTAACATTTCTGAGTTTTGGGGTTTTATTCATTAAAAAAGGGGTTATTTTCCAGTTTTCGGACAATAACTCAAAAACAATGTCACCAATTTGCATGAAACTTATGTGAATTGTTCATATCTATTGACGTGAGTTCCCTTTCGTTTTTTATTAATTTCGGATTTACTGTTTCCGAGTTTTGGGGTTTTATTCATTAAAAAAGGGGGGATTTTCCAGTTTTCAGACAATAACTCAAAAAAAATTTCATCAATTTGCATGAAACTTTTGTGAATTGTTCATATCTATTGACGTGAGCTCCCTTACGTTTTTTATAAATTTGGGATTTACCGTTTCCGAGTTTTGGGGTTTTATTCATTAAAAAAGGGGTTATTTTCCAGTTTTCGGACAATAACTCAAAAACAATGTTACCAATTTGCATGAAACTTATGTGAATTGTTCATATCTATTGACGTGAGTTCCCTTTCGTTTTTTATTAATTTCGGATTTACTGTTTCCGAGTTTTGGGGTTTTATTCATTAAAAAAGGGGGGATTTTCCAGTTTTCAGACAATAACTCAAAAAAAATTTCATCAATTTGCATGAAACTTTTGTGAATTGTTCATATCTATTGACGTGAGCTCCCTTACGTTTTTTGTAAATTTGGGATTTACCGTTTCCGAGTTTTGGGGTTTTATTCATTTAAAAAGGGGTTATTTTCCAGTTTTCGGACAATAACTCAAAAACAATGTCACCAATTTGCATGAAACTTATGTGAATTGTTCATATCTATTGACGTGAGTTCCCTTTCGTTTTTTATTAATTTCGGATTTACTGTTTCCAAGTTTTGGGGTTGTATTCATTAAAAAAGGGGGGATTTTCCAGTTTTCAGACAATAACTCAAAAACCATTTCACCAATTTGCAAGAAACTTTGGTGAATTGTTTATTTCTATCGACATGAGCTCCCTTTTGATTTTTATAAAATTCAGACTATACGTTTCCGATTTATGGGGTTTTATTCATTACAAAAAGGGGGATTTTCCAGTTTTCGGTAATAACTCAAAAATGCTTTCAGCATTTTTTATGAAACTTTGGTAAATTGTTTATATCTATTTTTGTAAGCTCTCTTTTGATTTTTATAAATTTTTAGATTTTACGTTTCTGAGTTATAAGATTTTATTTGTTTATAGTCTGACAACAGATTTACTAAGTATTGCGCAACAGCACAGTGTATTGCACAACAGCAAGAAATCTTTTATATAACCAATTTCAAGTTCTTTGACTACATTTATTCAGAAACCTATAATATATCAAATATTTAATTACAATGCAAATTCAGACCTGTATCAAGCTTGAATATTGTGTCCATTTTTGCCCCAACTGTTCAGGGTTGGACCTCTGCGGGCGTATCCAGCTGCGCTCAGCGAAGCAGTTTATTTTCATTCTCGCGAGAAGCTCCTTTATGAAGTCTGCCTCATAAACAAAGAAACAAGTCGGCAAGAAGAGGAGCACAGTTGGTTCCCATAGGAATGCTGATTGTCTGTTAAAACACATCGTCCCAACTTTACAAATATGTTATCATTAAAAATATCAAACATTTTATGATGTCAACTTCAGGTAATTTTTTTTTTCTTAATCAGAGTGGGGTTTTAATGGTGAAAGATGAATTATTTGTTTGATTTCATACATGTATTTAATGTAATTATTCACAAGAAATATTTTTTAACTCAGTAGGAAAACATCCCCCTTGTTTTTGTTCTTTTTATATGGGGTGCACCCAGTTACATTTGTACATGAAACTAAATTCATGAAGGCACTAGTTGAAATGCATATAATTGTAATTATATGTTTATATATACAAATGTACATAGCTATCCTACCAAATTTGCTTGGTAATGTGACATTTCAGAATCTAAAAGAACGTAATCAAAATCTGTTTGTTCTGTAAATAAATTGTACAGATATGGACACATATAATGACATTACTGGAAAATTATAATTTCAGAGTCTCTTAAAGATTTTGATTGATTTGCTTAGGACTCATTTTATTTAATTCCGTCAAACATCCATGTAAATTATCATGGTTTATTTTATCATTTTAATTGTATGATATCCACCATGTCCATTCTTTTTAAATGATTACAACATGGTCTTGAAACTGAATCTTTTTACCCATAATTCATTAGATTCTGAGACAGCATTTGTGAAAGATCTACATGTATTGTAAAATTTAGATTTTCTTTTGTGCTTAACCTTCACAGAAGCATGCTTTGTCAAGTATTACAAAATAGGAAAAATGTAAAGAGCAATAAATGTTTCAATCTTGTCTGTCTATTTCCTGTGCATCAATCATGTATCAGTTATTAATAGATTGGCAATGGTCATACTGTATTATTTGCCTTACTATTTGTCAAATTGACACAAAGAAATTTAAATTGTTATGTGTACTAAATTATTTTAAGAATATGTTTTAAGTTTAAAAAAAGTAGTATCACTCATTATGCACATTCGTGACATTCATGTACATATATTTTGATCTTTGGAAGTAACTCTGAACTCATGTTGTTTTTTTACTGTAAATGAAAAAAGAACTGATGGCCTTCATTCAGAACAGTGTAAACATATAAATAAGAAGATGTGGTATGAGTGCCAATGAGACAACTATCCATCCAAGTCACAATGTATAAAAAGTAAACAATTATAGGTCAAAGTACGGCCTTCAACATGAGCCTTGGCTCACACCAAACAGTATACATGTATTGTAAAGACAGAAATTATTTATTCTGTCTCAGATTTACAAAATGAAGGTTTATCAGATAAAAATTGATTAAAATAAATAATATAGTACAAAATGTACTCGTAAACAGTTTCATCATTCCTTTCATTACCATGTTCTACATGTTGTATTTATGATTTTAACTATGTATTATGAGCACATGAAGACACAGTAGATGTTCTGCATGCTGCATGTTATGATTGAATGTTTGTCTTTCTATTTTCCACAGGACTCCAAATCTAAAGACCAGGTAAATTTTATAACAAGATGTTACAAATTATAAACAAAATATATGGTGGCTGGTGAAATATCTTTACTGTAAACAGTCAAGTATATATATAATCTTGTTGTAATACATAATCATTTGTTTTGGGCAAAATTTTAACATTCAGGGTTTAGTCTTTTCTTTATTAAGTAGTTATAAGCTGTAATAGACATGATAGAACATATCTTTGACACCATATAGCATGTTTAGCAAAAAGTGAAATAAACACAAAGCCAAAACCTTTTGACCTCCTTTGTAGATGTAAAGAATGCCTTCCAACTTCATTACATATCCATTTTTTTCAATTACACACTTTTATTTTGTATACAATAATATACATCTTTACTGTAAACGGGGAATTTTTTTCGCCATCTTTATTTCGCAATTTACCGACAGGAATCTTTATTCATGCTGTTTTGAATTCGTGATTTGTAGGCGGCCTGTAAATTTAAAACGGCACAGTTGTACATATATTGTAAAGCAAGAGATGAAAATGAATCAAAAAACCTTTTTATCTAAAGAAATTTAACAGTTTTCGTCGGTTCATCGATGTACATGTAGATTTCAAGTTATTTGTGAAATGACTTATATTAAATAAAAGTAAACTGCTACATTAATCATGTTTATGTTTAGTTTAATGTAAAAACACATACACTATTAACATAAAAGAATGCTACCAAATTAGTAAGATCATGGAAGTATTACCTAAGAGTCACGAGTGATGTTTATGTATGGTAACAGCATCAATAATTTCCGGTTCTTTAAAATAGTTTTCATATTAATTTGACTGTCATGAGTTAAAGGTTTTGGTTTCTAACACTGCCTTTTATTTAGAAGTAAAGTTTTAATTTGTGATAACAGATATAGAGCTGTCGTCTGAAAAATTGTTGTTATAAATTGGCCCTGTATACATAATCCTATTGGTTACATGTATATGTTAAAAGATGGTCTTCATTCGTTGAATCAGTTCTCCTTGAAATATTCATGGATGTTTTATTTTTGTGTTTCCACTCTTACCACGAAAAAAGCAAAAATAAACCTGCCGCGAAATTTTCCTTGTTTACAGTATGAATCTGTATGTTTGTGTAATTCTGCCTCAATACTATGTATATGACATACATAACAAGCTTTTACGTCAATTGGTCTCTTGTTGAGAGTTGGCAATCATACCACATTTTCTCATTTTTTATAATAAAGTATAACAGGAAAAGTGTGCTAATAAATTATTACATTATTTACATAAGACCTTTTCAGGAAAAATACGAGGGAGGATCATCAGAACACTTCTCAGTTTTATTATAAACCATTGGTGCTGGTTTTCATTATTTGTACTTTCAAATTTTTAGATTAACTGAAAAAAATAGTTTAAATTCTGTTGATGTTACCTTTATGCATGTACTAGAATTTGAAGAAAGGAGTTCTGACCAAACAATTTTTCCATAATAACAATATTTCTATACTAACTAAATAGAGTAATACACTTGGCTGGTAAAGCTAAGGTACATACATTTTTGTCGAGCCTGCGACTTTTGTCGCAAAAGCGAGACATAGCGATCCTACATTCAGTCGTCGTCGGCGGCAGCGTCCACAAATATTCACTCTGTGGTTAAAGTTTTTGAAATTTTAATAACTTTCTTAAACTATCCTGGATTTCTACCAAACTTGGACAGAAGCTTGTTTATGATCATAAGATAGTATCCAGAAGTAAATTTTGTTAAAAAAAATCCTGTTTATCCGTATTTTACTTATAAATGGACTTAGTTTTTCTGCCAGCTAACATTACATTCACTCTGTGCATGCTGTGGTTTAAAGTTTTTTGCGGTCGTATATTGGTATGACGTTGGCGTCGTCGTCGTCGTCCGAAGACACATTGGTTTTCGCACTCTAACTTTAGTTTAAGTAAATGGATCTCTTTGAAATTTTACCATAAGGTTCAATACCACAAAAGGAAGGTGGGGATTGATTTTGGGGGTTATGGTACCAACAGTTAAGGAATTAGGGGCCAAAAATAAGCATTTTCTAGTTTCCAGACAATAACTATGGAACGGTGTATGGATCTCTCTGAAATTATACTACAAGTTTCCATACCACAAAGGGATGGTTAGGATTTGCTTTGGGGGGTTATGGCTCAAACCGTTTAGGAATTAGGGGCAAAAAAGGGGGAAAAACAAGGTTGTCCTGGTTAATGGACAAATACTTTAGTACAAAACATAATTTAAAGCAGTGTAAGGGAGATAAATCAAATACATCATTGAAATTATCTCCCTTACACTGCTTTTAAATTATGTATAAAGTAATGGTTAATGAACAATTAAGATAATTTAAAACAGTGTAAGGGAGGTAATCCAAATACAACATTTTGGTTACTTCCCTTACACTGCTTTTAAATTATGTTTAAAGAAATGCATATTTATAAAGGAAGACCAGTAAAAATATCTGCAAATGTTGTATCTTTTTTTTTTACAAAAAAATCCATATGAAAGATTTGACACTATATTTTAAATTCTATTATAAACTAGATTAAGTTAGCACTATGGTAAATTTAAATGGGTAATTATGGTTGCAAACTCCATTGGAAATTTGATTGAGATTATGACCATATCTCGAGGGAAAGAATTTTTTGGGGAAAAAAGGGGGGGGGGGGGGGGGGGGGGGGAGTTAAAAAGAAATTGTGGGGGGGTCAATTTTTTCTCATTTAAGATTTCAGAAATTAAAAAGAATTATTCTTCAAATATTATTTTTTTTTCAAATTTCAAATATTCATGTATTGAAAAATTTCAAGAAGTAATCTTTAATTGCACAGTATGGCGCATTAGATTTTTAAAATCTTTGACCACATTTATTTATTTGTTATGCCAAATCTAACCGTGTATTTAGATTTTTAATTTTGGGTCCAGTTTTCAAATTGGTCTACATTAAGGTCCAAAGGGTCCAAATTTTCCAAAATTAAACTTTGTTTGATTTTAACAAAAAATGAATTCTTGGGGTTCTTTGATATGCTGAATCTAAACATGTGTTTAGATTTTTGATTATGGGCCCAGTTTTCAAGTTTGTCCAAGTTGGACTCCAAAATTAAACTTTGTTTGATTTTAACAAAAATTGAATTTATGGGGTTCTTTGATATGCTGAATCTAAACATGTATTTAGATTTTTGATTTTTGGCCCAGTTTTCAAGTTGGTCCAAATTGGGGTCCAAAATTAAACTTTGTTTGATTTCAACAAAAATTGAATATATGGGGTTCTTTGATATGCTGAATTTAACCATGTATTTAGAATTTTTATTTGTGGACCCCGCTATCAAATTGGTTCATATTGAGGTCAAAAGGGTCCAAAATTAAACTTCGTTTGATTTCATCAAAAATTGAATTATTGGGGTTCTTTGATATGCCAAATCTAACCGTGTATTTAGATTTTTAATTTTCGGTCCTGTTTTTTAAATTTGTCTACATTAAGGTCCAAAGGGTCCAAAATTAAACTTAGTTTGATTTTAACAAAAAATGAATTCTTGGGGTTCTTTGATATGCTGAATCTAAACATGTGTTTAGATTTTTGATTATGGGCCCAGTTTTCAAGTTTGTCCAAGTTGGGGTCCAAAATTAAACTTTGTTTGATTTCAACAAAAATTGAATATATGGGGCTCATTGATATGCTGAATCTAAACATGTATTTAGATTTTAGATTTTTGGCCCAGTTTTCAAGTTGGTCCAAATTGGGGTCCAAAATTAAACTTTGTTTGATTTCAACAAATATTGAATATATGGGGTTCTTTGATATGCTGAATCTAACCATGTATTTAGATTTTTTATTTATGGGCCCGCTATCAAATTGGTTCATATTGAGGTCAAAAGGGTCCAAAATTAAACTTTGTTTGATTTCATCAAAAATTGAATTATTGGGGTTCTTTGATATGCCAAATCTAACCGTGTATTTAGATTTTTAATTTTGGGTCTCATTTTTTAAATTGGTCTACATTAAGGTCCAAAGGGTCCAAAATTAAACTTAGTTTGATTTTAACAAAAATTGAATGCTTGGGGTTCTTTGATATGCTGAATCTAAACATGTGTTTAGATTTTTGATTATGGGCCCAGTTTTCAAGTTTGTCCAAGTTGGGGTCCAAAATTAAACTTTGTTTGATTTCAACAAAAATTGAATATATGGGGTTCTTTGATATGCTGAATCTAACCATGTATTTTGATTTTGGACATTGGACCATAATAGGTAAATTAAAAAAAATCAAGTTCTTGGACCACATTCTTTCTGTGTCAGAAACCTATGCTGTGTCAAATATTTAATCATAATCCAAATTCAGAGCTGTATCAAGCTTGAATGTTGTGTCCTTACTTGCCCCAACTGTTCAGGGTTCGACCTCTGCGATCGTATCAAGCTGCGCTTAGCGAAGCATTTTATTAAAACTTTAATAACTTTCTTAAACTATCCTGGATTTGTACCAAACTTGGACAGAAGCTTGTTTATGATCATAAGATAGTATCCAGAAGTAGATTTTGTAAAATCACACTGAAAACATAGACAACAGCAAAAGTAGGCGAGACACTGGGTTCTACGGAACCCTTACAAATTTTTAATTATACACTTGTAAGCAATTTAATCATTAAGTGGTGGTTGGTGAAACTAACATGGTAGTTCTTAGATTGTGCCACTACATTGGGATATGGTAATTCTCCATCTCAGAAACTTGAACTAACAAATTTGAAAACATTCTTCTTATACATTTTAAATAGTTTAATGTTAAGAGTGAAAAAAATGTATATGTACCGCATTTTCATAAAATTTCGTGTCTGTTATTCATTGCACATTTTGTAATAGATAGCATTCTTTATTATGCTGATTTATACCTTCTATTAACTTTATAGTTATTCTGATAAAAATACTGAACAAGCACAAACCCTATCTATTCATGCCGTCAAAAACCTCATCAAGGGCCTCTTCCAATTGGGGGTCAGCAAGACAAAGATAAACTTTCATTATGATCTCTTTTAAACAAAATTAAGAATGAGCTTAAAGAAAAATAGGCGTTTATCAGTTAACATTTTTAAGGAGAAATAGTGCCACCTAATGTTTTTAATATAGCAAATATTTCATTTATAATCAGGTCCTGTTAAAAAGTGCATGTACCATTATGAACTTGATATTGTATTGATTGTAACTCTTAATTTATTCACGAAACACCACAACAATAAATGTTATATATGTGTTTGAACCTGTAAACATGGTAGAAAACCACATATATATATATATAATATTAAAACAAGCTTGTATAATAAGAGGAACACTTTAATATATATACTTACCAATGACATGCAAACATGTAGCTATTATTTAAAACTTAATTAGACGATTGTTTTAGTGGTTAGACATGTATTTTGATGTCATTAGCAATTAGTACATGATTGTTTAAATACATGTATACAATGTATGCGTTATTTAAATTCAAAATTATATTATTTCAAATAAGGAAAAGGGAAAAATGTGTCTGATGAGGGCTGGTACATAAAGTTTTTCTTTATCACACCTTTCTGAATTTCTTATTACCTCACTTAGCTAAAAAAAAGTTCTTGTAAGGAGTATTTTTAGATAAAAAAAAAATCCATGTTTTTTTTAGATGAAAAAATTGTTGTATCTGATTTGATTGATTTTTAATTGGTGAGGAGCATATATAATATTTTCCTGTGAGCATCTGTTCATCCATCTCAATATTCCCATATCAGGTTTAAGCTTTGGTTTAGTTTAAGCATATTTTATTTGCAAAAAAAAACTCACAAAAAGGATTAGACACAAGTTAGTCCAACTTAGATGGTCTTCTCTTAAGATACAATATTAGTCAATAGAATTTCATAGCATGCAAATATCAAATTTATCATTACACAATATATAATCAAACTATATATATATATATATATATATGGAAGTTTTTAACGACCTTGACTGGCTATACAGCCCTTGCAAGGTCGGTACTAATCAAACTTTGGTTCTAAGGACAGACTAAGGTAGATTATATATGTTCATTATCACATGATTGTAAGTTGTGAACTTTTTAACAAAAATATATCATTTACGCCAAACTAGGGTTTTGATTCACATTTCTTTGAATATAGAAATGTGGTTGTGTGTATGGGGCATGGTGTCCTATTGACACTTATTCTTGTTTCATGTTGATATAAAATTTATGAGGGCCAGGTCCTCTTATTCTAATTTTTTTTATGAAGTAATATGATTTTGAAAGCATCTTCCTTTATAATATGTGATAATTGCCTGATGTAATTGATTTTTGTAACTAGAATCTTTGAACATTTAGGTGGAGGGAGATAGTGACAGAATCAAGTATTAAAATGTCTAATATGATTTTTTTTTTTAATATTTCAGTGTATACACAGTCTACTGAATGCTCATGCTGAAGTTAAGAAGGCAACAGTAGGGAAGAAGGCTATTCCTAAAGTCTACAACAGATGTAAGAATACAATTAATGTGGGGTTTGAAGGCCTGCTACCTGGTTTATATTTTGCTAACATATTGTTTTTTAATTTTTATACCCCTGCAAACAAAGTTTGGGGAGGTATATATAGGAATCACCATGTCCATCTGTATGTTCGTCCATTTGTTCCTTTGTCTGTCCCTCTGTCCTACTTCGTGTAATGTGCATAAATTTTGTACTATAGAACTTAGGTTGACCAAACTTGGTATGCTAATACATCATGGGTTAAGGGTGTGACATATATCAAAGTCAAGTCACTCTGACTTAGAATTTGACCTTTGACCCCTATGATAGTAAAACATTGTCTGATATGTGCTTTTTGCATAACTTTTGTACTGTAGCATTTTAATTGACAAACTTTTGTATGCAGAAGCATCATACTGACCTTGACCTTGACCACACTTTTTTTCTTCGTGCTTGAAGATATTGATTTGATATTTTGTTTATTGTTTTATCATGACAAGTTACTGATCAAGTTCGAATTTTATTCCGGTCTGATGATTTTGTGCAGAGTTATGGTCCTTGGACTTAGAAAATTCACTCAAATAATCAGTTTTCCGCACTTTTTTCGTCATGCTTGAAGATAGTGATTTGGTAATTGGTATATATGTTTATCATGACAAGTTACAGATCAAGTTCGAATTTTGTTCCGGTCTGATGATCTTGTGCAGAGTTATGGTCCTTGGACTTAGAAATTTCACTCAAGTAATCAGTTTTCCTCACTTTTTAGCTCACCTGGCCCGAAGGGCCAAGTGAGCTTTTCTCATCACTTGGCGTCCGTCGTCCGTCGTCGTCGTCATCGTTAGCTTTTTACAAAAATCTTCTCCTCTGAAACCACTGGGCCAAATTTAACCAAACTTGGCCACAATCATCATTAGGGTATCTAGTTTAAAAAATGTGTCCGATGATCCTGCCAACCAACCAAGATGGCCGCCATGGCTAAAAATAGAACATAGGGGTAAAATGTAGATTTTTGCTTATATCTCTGAAACCAAAGCATTTAGAGTAAATCTGTCTTAGGGTAAAACTGATTACCAGGTCAAGATCTATCTGCCCTGAAATTTTCAGACAAATCTGACAACCTGTTGTTGGGTTGCTGCCCCTGAATTGGTAATTTTAAGGAAATTTTGCAGTTTTTGGTTATTATCTTGAATATTATTATAGATAGAGATAAACTGTAAACAGCAATAATGTTCAGCAAAGTAAGATCTACAAATAAGTTGTCATGACCAAAATTGTCAGTCGACCCCTTTAGGAGTTATTGCCCTTAATAGTCAATTTTTAACAATTTTTATACGACCGCAAAAAAAATTTTGTGGTCGTATATTGGTATGACGTTGGCGTCGTCGTCGTCGTCGTCGTCCGGCGTCGTCGTCGTCCGAATACATATTGGTTTTCGCACTCTAACTTTAGTTTAAGTGAATGGATCTTTTTGAAATTTGACCATAAGGTTAAATACCACAAAAGGAAGGTTGGGATTGATTTTGGGGGTTATGGTACCATCAGTTAAGGAATTAGGGGCCAAAAAGGGGCCAAAAATGAGCATTTTCTAGTTTCCAGACAATAACTGTAGAACGGTGTATGGATCTCTCTGAAATTATACTACAAGTTTCCATACCACAAAGGGATGGTTAGGATTTGCTTTGGGGGGTTATGGCTCAAACCGTTTAGGAATTAGGGGCAAAAAAGGGGGAAAAACAAGGTTGTCCTGGTTAATGGACAAATACTTTAGTACAAAACATAATTTAAAGCAGTGTAAGGGAGATAAATCAAATACATCATTGAAATTATCTCCCTTACACTGCTTTTAAATTATGTATAAAGTAATGGTTAATGAACAATAAAGATAATCTAAAACAGTGTAAGGGAGGTAATCCAAATACAACGTTTTGGTTACTTCCCTTACACTGCTTTTAAATTATGTTTAAAGAAATGCATATTTATAAAGGAAGACCAGTAAAAATATCTGCAAATGTTTTCATCTTTTTTTTTTACAAAAAAATCCATATGAAAGATTTGACACTATATTTTTATTAATTCTATTATAAAATAGATTAAGTTAGCACTATGGTAAATTTAAATGGGTAATTATGGTTGCCAACTCCATTGGAAATTTGAAATGAGATTATGACCATATCTTGAGGGAAAGAATTTTTTTGGGGGAAAAAGGGGGGGGGGGATAAAAAGAAATTGTGGGGGGCCAATTTTTTCTCATTTCAGATTTCAGAAATTAAAAAGAATTATTCTTCAAATATTTTTTTTTTTTTCAAATTTCAAATATTGAAAAATTTCAAGAAGTAATCTTTAATTGCACAGTATGGCGCATTAGATTTGTAAAATCTTTGATCACATTTATTTATTTGTTATGCCGAATCTAACAGTGTATTTAGATTTTTAATTTTGGGTCCAGTTTTCAAATTGCATTAATGTCCAAAGGGTCCAAAATTAAACTTTGTTTGATTTTAGCAAAAATTGAATATATGAGGTTCTTTGATATGCTGAATCTAAACATGTATTTAGATTTTTGATTTTTTTTGGCCCAGTTTTCAAGTTGGTCCAAATTGGGGTCCAAAATTAAACTTTGTTTGATTTCAACAAAAATTGAATATATGGGGTTCTTTGATATGCTGAATCTAACCATGTATTTAGATTTTTTATTTGTGGACCCCGTTATCTAATTGGTTCATATTGAGGTCAAAAGGGTCCAAAATTAAACTTTGTTTGATTTCATCTAAAATTGAATTATTGGGGTTCTTTGATATTCCAAATCTAACCGTGTATTTAGGTTTTTAATTTTGGGTCCTGTTTTTTAAATTGGTCTACATTGAGGTCCAAAGGGTCCAAAATTAAACTTAGTTTGATTTTAACAAAAATTGAATTCTTGGGGTTCTTTGATTTGCTGAATCTAAACATGTGTTTAGATTTTTGATTATGGGCCCAGTTTTCAAGTTGGTCCAAGATAGGGTCCAGTATTTAAACTTTGTTTGATTTCAACAAAAATTGAATATATGGGGTTCTTTGATATGCTGAATCTAAACATGTATTTAGATTTTTGATTATGGGCCCAGTTTTCAAGTTGGTCCAAATTGGGGTCCAAAATTAAACTTTGTTTGATTTCAACAAAAATTGAATATATGAGGTTCTTTGATATGCTGAATCTAACCATGTATTTAGATTTTTTATTTGTAGGCCCCGCTATCAAATTGGTTCATATTGAGGTCAAAAGGGTCCAAAATTAAACTTTGTTTGATTTCATCGAAAATTGAATTATTGGGGTTCTTTGATATGCCAAATCTAACCGTGTTTTTAGATTTTTAATTTGGGTCCCGTTTTTTAAATTGGTCTTCATTGAGGTCCAAAGGGTCCAAAATTAAACTTAGTTTGATTTTAACAAAAATTGAATTCTTGGGGTTCTTTGATATGCTGAATCTAAACATGTGTTTAGATTTTTTATTATGGGCCCTGTTTTCAAGTTGGTCCAAGTTGGGGTCCAAAATTAAACTTTTTTTGATTTCAACAAAAATTGAATATATGGGGTTCTTTGATATGCTGAATCTAACCATGAATTTAGATTTTTTATTTGTGGGCCCCGCTATCAAATTGGTTCATATTGAGGTCAAAAGGGTCCAAAATTAAACTTTGTTTGATTTCATCAAAAATTGAATTATTGGGGTTCTTTGATATTCCAAATCTAACCGTGTATTTAGATTTTTAATTTTAAGTCCCGTTTTTTAAATTGGTGTACATTAAGGTCCAAAGGGTCCAAAATTAAACTTAGTTTGATTTTAGCAAAAATTGAATTCTTGGGGTTCTTTGATATGCTGAATCTAAACATGTGTTTAGATTTTTGATTATGGGCCCAGTTTTCAAGTTTGTCCAAGTTGGGGTCCAAAATTAAACTTTGTTTGATTTTAACAAAAATTGAATATATGGGGTTCTTTGATATGCTGAATCTAACCATGTATTTTGATTTTGGACATTGGACCATAATAGGTAAATTAAAAAAATTCAAGTTCTTAGACCACATTCTTTCTGTGTCAGAAACCTATGCTGTGTGAAATATTTAATAACAATCCAAATTCAGAGCTGTATCAAGCTTGAATGTTGTGTCCATACTTGCCCCAACTGTTCAGGGTTCGACCTCTGCGGTCGTATCAAGCTGCGCCCCAGCGAAGCATTTTATTTGTAAATTTTTGTAATCTTTTACAAAAATCTTCTTCTCTGAAACTACTGAGACAAATTTAACCATACTTGGCCATAATCAATATTAGGGTATCTAGTTTAAAAAATTTGTCCGATGAACCCGCCTTCCAACCATCATGACCGACTTGGTTAAAAATAGAACATAGGGGTAAAATGCAGTTTTTGGTTTATATCTCTGAAACTAAAGCATTTAGAGCAAATCTGACAGGTGGCATAAATGTTCATCAGATTTATATTTATCTGCCCTGAAATTTTGAGACGATTCCAACAACCCATTGTTGGGTTGCTGCCCCTGAGTTAGTAATTTTACAAAAATTTTGCAGTTTTTTGTTATTATCTTAGATATCATTATAATATCTAATATCTAATACTATTAATTATGATTTTAACCTTATTTTACATGATTTCCAAAGCATCAGTAAATACAGGTGAGCAACACAGGCTCTTGAGAGCCTCTAGTTTTCGTCATGCTGGAAGGTATTGACTTGATATTTGTTATATAGTTTACACCATGACAAGTTATAGATCAAGTTAGCATTTTGTTCCAGTACAATGAATTTTTAACCGGTAGGGGACTATGTATTGCCATGAAATACTCTTGGAATACTTGTTGCTGTTTCTTTTTGTTGAGTTTGTTTCATTTTGATTTTAAATCTTGACTATTGCAACAAAGAGGTCAGTACCTAATCATAAGTTCAGTGTATATATCTCTAAAATTATGTAAAAACCTGATGTTAAAAAAATGCAACATAGAAAATCAGTATTTATTCATTTAACATTTGTCCAAACCAGATTTTCCCCATTTTAGACTTCTATCAAAGATGTATTATATGGGTGATCTCACAGTTATAAGGTTTCTTACCTATGTGGATACATCATTTTGTAGTTTCATAGTTCAAACTATATAGGAAATATATTGAAGATTGATAAAGTGATGCACTAGGTTACATATTGTGACATATGTTATCATGTAATAGAATATTTGTAAACTATTAGATGTTTTCATTTTAGTGACAGAATTGAGGAAGTATTTAGATCCAGCTTACACAGATGAAATGACCTTGTCAGATGAGGCTATAACAGATATTATATTAGCTGGTACGTTTAGACATAAACTTGACCTCAGCTCTTTGATTTAATCATTGAAGGAATTTGTTTGCAAAAAGCATACACATGTTATGTCAATCAAAACATATTTACAAATATGACACAATGATAGACAAGAGAGAACAACATATATGATACAATGTTAACAATTAGTAAAACTTTGAATTACACAAAGCCCAGTAAAAGCATTAATTTTCTAGCCTATAGTAGTTAGTTAGACTCAGATTGATGTCCGGTCTCTATTTGACATCTGGTCTCTAATCCACTTTCCTATAATCTGAGTTCAATCTGAAGTCGCAGTCGCAAATCGAGGTTCAATCTTCTTATTGGCGTCCAATATGCATCATATATTACCAAACTTGACTACCAAATAGAGTCTCCTAATTGACGCCCAGTAATACTGAATTAATTTTAAGCTTGATATTTCTGTGATCAGATCTACAGGTGTTTGTCCATTATGTTGTTGTTATGTCATCATGACATAACTGAGTTTAAAGTAAATGAGTTACCTTCCCATGCCAAAAGAAGAAGCTAACAAAATACTTTAAAGTGGGAGATTTTTGTGAGTTTTTTCACCTATTTTTAGCTCATCTGGCCCACAAATAGGTCAAACAGGGCTGAAATCGTCAGTTGAATAGTTATTGGAGTTCTTGCTCTTTAATGACAATTTTATCTTATTTTCAGTCTTTTTGCCTATTATCCTGAAAACTATAATAGATAGATAGACACTTTAAGGGACAAAATAATCAGCAAGACAAGATGTACAAATAAGTTCAACATTGTTACCCTTGACCGTGTTACCCTTGACCATCTGTCCATCCTTCTGTCCTTCTCATTTTCATTTCTGCTCTCTTAACTTAAGTTTGCCTCATCCAAGTTTTATGAAACTAATACACAATGCTAAGAACCACAAGACGCAGACAGAGTTCTAATTTGGACAGTGAGTCATTTACTGTTCTAGAGTTATGGCTCTTTTTAAATTGGAAAATTGAGAAGCTTGAGCAGGGGCATTTGTGTCCTCAGACACATTCTTCTTTTAATTCATAACAGCTATGATTGTATTTTTTCAGAGGAAGATTTCCTAAATCAGCAAGCAAATAGATTGGAACAAATGGAAGGATTAAAAGAAATATTAGACAGTGCTCATATAAAGGGTGAGATAAACATGTGTAGTCTTTATGTTTAACAAATATCTTACTTTTTGCATCATTATAAAAATCTTTATTCTGAATGTTGTTGAAAGATTGTCCACTTGATGTAAAAAAATCCTACTATCCAACAATGATTATTGAAATATTTCACTATGTTAATCTTGTTTTCAGGCATGCCTTCACATTCATCAAAACTACAAGAACTGAGTAAAATCCAGATTGACCAACAGGTAGGTGTTGAGGATGAAGACATTTCTTGTTTATGGTCCTGAATTCTTTATTTCAGTAAATAAACAGGATTAGATACTAACACTAGTCTGGTAGTTTTTCAAAAGACTGATTCTTTTTTTTTTATCAAACTATCAAACAACATAGAACAACATAAGAACAAACTATAAAGTCAGTTGAAAAGGGCTTGACTTATCAGAAGGATGCAAAGCAAAACAAAAAAGTAACCAAAACACTAAAAAGACAAGTTACTGATCTGATTACTCACAGTTATTGCCAGTAACAACTAAAAAGAATCATGTATCCAAGACATAATATCAATCAGTACACCTGCAATGGATTTAGTGTGAAGATGTCTTTAACAGTCAAGGAAAACATGACCTTGCTTAATGCCAAAATCTTAGTTTCGACATGATGTAAACCAGTAAGAGTTAATAACTGTATAGCAATACATATTTTGTTGATTGAAGAAATAACATGTCAATACATTCCAGAATTCAAAATGTCGGCCTCCTTTAGCTACAGACAGGTAGAAAGAGGATTTTTCGCTTGTTGAACTATTTATACAAAATGATAGCATTAGAATGATTGATGATTAGACAGATATTTAACATTCCATTTAAATTTAATGGATATTATTGTTATAAATCCACATTCATGTATTATAAGATGTGACACACTAATTCCACAGAGTGATTTGATGAAATCATTCCCACAAGTTGACAGTCGTGTTCGTTGCAGGCAATCATTAAAATTAATTACTTTTGAAAAAGGTCACATGTGTTTATTATTGATTGGTATTAAATGAGTGTTCTTTCAAACATTGTGTGTTGATGAAGCCTAATTTATTTTTCGGATGAACGTTTCAAACTCAATATAATATTCATGCACAAAATAACAAGAAACCTGTTTGAAAATATGGGAGGTAAAACAGAACCGACAAAACAGTATTATGTGAACAGGGCTATCACAGTTGACAAAATCAACATATTTGTCCTATTAGAATCAAAATTATTCTACGGCTGCCATTAATTATTTCTTAAACATTATATATTGATAGTAGAAAGTGTTGTATTATACATTACAGGACAAGACAGGTTTATTTACAGATGATGTTAAGTGTTGTATTATACATTACAGGACAAGACCGGATTATTTACAGATGATGTTAAGTGTTGTATTATACATTATAGGACAAGACAGGATTATTTACAGATGATGTTAGGTGTTGTATTATACATTACAGGACAAGACAGGATTGTTTACAGATGATGTTAAGTGTTGTATTGTACATTACAGGACAAGAGAGGATTATTTACAGATGATGTTAAGTGTTGTATTATACATTATAGGACAAGAGAGGATTATTTACAGATGATGTTAAGTGTTGTATTATACATTACAGGACAAGACAGGATTGTTTACAGATGATGTTAAGTGTTGTATTGTACATTACAGGACAAGACCGGATTATTTACAGGTGATGTTAAGTGTTGTATTATACATTACAGGACAAGACAGGATTATTTACAGATGATGTTAAGTGTTGTATTATACATTACAGGACAAGACAGGATTATTTACAGATGATGTTAAGTGTTGTATTATACATTACAGGACAAGACAGGATTATTTACAGATGATGTTAAGTGTTGTATTATACATTACAGGACAAGACAGGATTATTTACAGATGATGTTAAGTGTTGTATTATACATTACAGGACAAGACAGGATTATTTACAGATGATGTTAATTGTTGTATTATACATTACAGGACAAGACAGGATTATTTACAGATGATATTAAGTGTTGTATTATACATTACAGGACAAGACAGGATTATTTACAGATGACGTTAGAGGATTGCTGGAGAATTACAATACTATTGTATCCTTTATAAAGATATTGTTTCAAGTAAAACTAAAAAAGATACCAGGCTTATAATTTTGTATGCCAGATCAGCAGTTTTTTCTACAAAAAATTCATTAGTGATGCTCAAATCCACAAAATTAAAAGGTCAAATAAAGTACGAAGTTGAAGAGCATTGAAAACCCAAAATTCTGAAAGGTTTTGTCAAATACAGCTAAGGCCATCTAATCTTGGGATAGAAAATCATTAGTATTGAACAATGCAAAGTTTTGTAAAAAGTTGGTTAGACTGACAAATATAATGCAGGACTTACAAAGTCGTGAATTATACAACATAATGTGCGGCTTTGACATACTAGAGTAAGATTGCTTTTTTGGCAAGTTAGAAAGTAGAATGTGTGTCTGGCCTATTCATAATTATGATTTTTTATGTCAGATTTTTTGACTTTTCTTGCAATGTGTATTAATTGGATGCAGCCTCCATTAAGTAAGGGCTATTCCAGAAATATAAGTATTGCATGGGGATCAGAAGACAGTTTTTAGCTCACCTGAACCTTTGCTGTTCTCAATTTTTGGTGGTCGTTGCTGTTGTTGAGTAAAACTTTTAATAAATTTCAGTCATAATAGTTTCAAGAAAAGATATTCTGTTACAACACACAATATAAAAAAAATGTACACTTACACCAGGTGTCCCCGGTTTTTAACCTAAAAGCTCTGCATTCTACATCCATTATATTGCCAAGTGGTCAAAACCAATAACCTTCTTGTTTCCCCCATGCATTCAAGTTTAATTTACTGTTTAAAATGACTGTCATGTCAAGAAGATGACTTAAAACACACAAACAATAAAACATTTTCCTTAACTAGATCTTAGGTATCTTTAGTTTCCAAACAACTTATACAATGGGACCAAATGGTTACTAAAGTAGAAAAGGCCAAACAGACCAAGAAATCATAGAACTGAATCTCTTAGATACATTTAATAGTGCAATATTTATTATATAATTTATCATGTATATTTTGCCATTTTTGTGGAAAAGGATTAATTGAGTTGTGCTTACAATAAAGGGTTAAAGCTATTTATAGTTTCTAATATTTATAACTGTTACTATTATTTTGCTCCTGGAAACTTGAGTATCCCTTGCTTGATTGAAATGAAACTTATACAGATGGAAGATATTGGGAAGGGAAAGAAGCCTATTGATTTTGGAGTCAATAGGCCAGGTTACTGTCACAAAACATTCAAAAAAAAAATGGAAAAAAAGGTTTCTAGGTGGAAACTTCAGTTTCCTTTGCTTATTTAGAATAAAACTTACACATTTGGGAAATATATGGAAGGGGAAGAATCCTGTTGAGGTTGTGGGCAAAGGTCAAAGTCACTGTTACATAACATTAAAAAAATGGAAAAAAGGTTTCCAGGTGGTAACTTGAGTTTCCCTTGCTTGTTTAGAACAAAAAAATATAGAGAAGGGGTCAAATCTTACTGAATTTGGGGTAAATAAATTAAAGTGCTTGATTGGAATAACCTTATACGGGAAATGGAAGAAGCCTGTTGTTTTTTTGAGGGTCCAATAGGCCTAAGGTCAAGGTTACTGTTACTAAAATAAAATATATTTTCAGGATGGTATCCCACTATTAACATGATGAATTGAAACACATTTATACAGGTTAAAAATAAGCAATAATGGTACATGTTTTTGGCCCTCCAAGCATACTAGTTGTTTGAACTTGATAAAACATTGTTTCCAGTCAATAAATGTGCAGTTCTAGGAGCATCAGTTTAAAATGTATTAAAGCTTTTTACTTGTTTCATTAGCATCATTTCATAAAATATTGAAAGATGAGCATTTGAATACTGTATTAGTGTGTTTTATAGGTAGTTGTCAGTCAAGAATAATGTGAATACTGAAAACAAATTTATTTTGGTAAATTAATAGAGCTATCTCAATATTTAGTATCCTGAGGTCAAGGTATGTTTTTTTAAAAATAGAAAAGTGTAATAAAATAGAATTGCTGTATACAAATAATAATGATATCCCTATCCTAACACATTAATCTTTTTCCTGGACACTAAAAGTAAAGACACTTTGCAAAATTAAAACTCAAATTTCAGCAGCATTATAATTTAGCATGGTAAAAATACTTTAGAAGAATTTGAAGTTGTTCATATTTATTTGAAATTAGTGAATCTTATGTCACAATCTACATTGAAAAAGAATAAAAATACAAAAAGCAGTCTCTTGTTTTAACCTACAATGTTGCAATTTGTGATTTCAACACAGAAAGATTGTTACATTTACACATAAGCAAGTAAATCGGTATCCTTTTATAGGCCTAGTGTACTATTGCCATTTCATGGAATCTGTTGTAAAGGTCTTTTCAGATACATGTATAAAGTTTTGCCTGTTTCTTGATAATTATCTCGAAAACTATGTTAGATAAAAAGAAATTATGTACATTACAAACGAGCAGGCTATTCCATCAAACGTGCATGGTACCCAGGAAAGGCACTTTCAAAATGGATTATAAACGTATAGAGGCAAAATTCAAAATTTCGCTCACATTTTCACTGTACTTGACCCCACCTATAATTGAGATTTTAAACTACCTTTAATGGGTCCAATAGATATAAGAAGATGTGGTATGAGTGCCAATGAGACAACTCTCCATCCAAGTCAAAATTTATAAAAGTAAACCATTATAGGTCAAAGTACGGTCTTCAACACATATGTTTTTTTTTTTTTATGGAACAGCTCTCAGCAAACCAAGATCAACAATTAAGTCAACTTGACCTTAGGAAAATTGACACTTCTTGTAAGGATATTATTAGGAAAAAGCATTATTTTACGAATAGAACTGAAGATAACTTAATGACAGAATATAAATATATATATATATATATATGAGAAAATATAGCTCTTATAAAACAGGGTAACCTACTTTTTTTCTTGCTGTTTGACAAAAGCGAAAAATTTACTGTACATTCCTATACCAAATTAAATGATCTGATTTATCTTCCCTTATAAAGCAAAGTTTTTAAAAATAATAATTAACAGTAAAATATACTTTATTTGTAAAAACAGTTATCATCATTTGATAAAATTACAATAATTTTCTTCAATTAAGTGAAAAGTCGCACAAATGAAATGCATTCCTGTATTAAATTTTGCATATTTCATCCAAAATCTGGACTGATGATTTGCAATTCTTTTTTGTTGTGGAGGGGGGGGGTCAATTCGCATCAGCATAGTGTATTGCACAAAAGCAAAAATTGAATATAAATTCAAATCATATAACCAATTCTAAGTTCTTTGACTACAGTTATTCGGTGTCAGAAACCTATTATGTGTCAAATATTTAATTACAATCCAAATTCAGACCTGTATCAAGTGCGAATATTGTGTCCATTTTCGCCCCAACTGTTCAGGGTTGGACCTCTGCGGTCGTATCCAGCTGCGCTCAGGGAAGCGTTTTATTATTGTGAGTTTTGAAGAATGGACAAAAATGCAAGATTATTTTTTGTGATTACAGGAAAATCTACATACAGATATATGTAACTGATAACAAAATGCAAGTTCTTATTATTGCTCTACTCACATAGTCGCATTTTTATACGACCGCAAAAATTAAAAAAAATTTTGTCGTATATTGGTTTTACGTCGTCGTCGTCAGCGTCGTCCGAAGACAGATTGTTTCCGGATAATGACTTTAGTATAAGTTAATAGAAATCAATAAAATTTTAACACAAGGTTTATAACCACTAAAGGAAGGTTGGGATTGATTTTGGGGGTTATGGTCCCAATTGTTTAGGAATTAGGGGCCAAAAAGGGGCCCAAATAAGCATTTTTGTAGTTTCCAGACAATAACTTGTGTTAAAGTGTATGAATCTCTCTGAAATTATACAACAAGTTTCCATACTACAAAGGGATGGTTAGGATTGACTATGGGGGGTTATGGCTCAAACCAATTAGTAATTAGGGGCAAAAAAAGGGAAAAAACAAGGGTTTTTCTGGATAAAGGACAATTGAGACAATTTAAAAGCAGTGTAAGGGAGGTAATCCAAATCAATTAAAAGAACACTGTTTGATTACCTCCCTTACACTGCTTGTAACTTATGTATTAAGAAATGATGATTGTCTTGAGGTGATTAGCTGTCAATTTATTTTTAGCAGTTACTATTAATTAATATTAATTTTAGCCATGACTATGTATATCATTTTATATTTTAAAACTTTTATGATGTATTTAAATGGGTTATTATGGTTGCAAACTCCATTAGAAATTTGAATTGAGATACTGACCATATCTTGAGGGAAAGATTTTTTTGCTTGGGGATAAGGGAAAGGGGGGAGGTGAAAAAAATTGGAGGGGGGGGGGGGGGACAATTTAGGCGTTTTGCATTTGCGCCGATTGTGTACAGGTAGATTACAGGTGAATGTTATTTCTTATTTATTATTTATCATTATAAATCTCTTCTGTTGACAATTATAACATGTATATAGCTGTTGTCCCCTGCTCACCACGGGGAGGTGAAATAAGGATTTCAAGCAATAGAAGTCAATTTATGCGAATGAAACGATTCAGGACTGTTATTCGTCATCTTACAATTTTCAACGGGTGTAGCTGCCCAGAAATAAGGTGAATAACGTGAAGTTAAGCATATATAAATACTTTAATAATACGTAGTCTAAGAATGCATGCTTCATACCTAATGTCAAACGTGAAGCAGTCCTCGATTTCATCTGGGGGAGGAATAATAGCCCAAAAATTGAGATAGCCATTTACCAGTGTCACTTGATTTGACTTTATACTCTGTTTAAAAATGTATACTTAAACCAACAGTTTGGATTTTCCTCCACCAGTTTATGTGCCAGATGAAAACGACAACAATCTATTTGCAGGGGACAACAGTTATATACATGTTATAATTGACAATTTATAACATATGTACAATTGGCTAACGGAAGAGGTTTTTATATTGATAACTAACAAATAACATTCACCAGTAATTTACCTGTGCTTAATCGGCGCAAATGAAAGAATCAAATCGGCGCAAATGAAGGATCGAAACTTTTTAAAATCGGCGCAAATGTCATACGCCCGACAATTTTTCTCATTTCAGATTTCAGAAATTAAAGAAAATTTCTTCGAATATTTTTTTGGGGGGTTAATATTCAACAGCATAGTGTATTGCACAAAAGCAAAAAACCGGGGTAAAATTTTTTTTTTGGGGGGGGGGTCAATTTTCAACAACATAGTGTATTGCACAAAAGCAAAAAATTGAATATAAATTCAAATCATATAACCAATTTGAAGTTCTTTGACTACAGTTATTCTGTGTCAAAAATTTAGTTACAATCCAAATTCAGACCTGTACCAAGCGTGAATATTGTGTCCATTTTGGCCCCAACTTTTCATGGTTGGACATCTGCGGTCGTATCCAGCTGCGCTTAGCGAAGCAATTTATTCGCATTTATAAAAAGCAGCCTAATGATTTTGGGGTCAATAAGCCAATGGTCAAGGTCACTTACAAAACGTTAAAAAATGGTTTTCAGGTGGTAAGTTGAGTTTTCCTTGCTTGTTTAGAACAAAACTTATACAGATGAAATGTATAGAGAATGGGGAGAATCCTATTGATTTTGGGCCAATAGATCGTTGGTTATTTAAAATAGATTTTTAAAATGGTTTCCAGATAGTTGGTAGCTTAAGCATCTGTTGCTGAAGTGAACTTCATATGGCATGGGAAGGTGAAGAAGTCTATTGTTTTTGGGGTTAATAGGTCAGGGGTTACTTTTACTTAAAAAATAATCATTAATTCCGTTATTTGGATGATATCCCACTTTATTTCATATCCTGAGCTATTTTCCATATCTTCAAAGAAACCTTATACTGTCCTCATGTTATCTATATGCCTTAGTGGAAGCATGGTTAAAAAATAAAAATTTTCTTAAGAATTAAAATTAAAATTATGTTAGTTCCTTATTGAAGAGATAAATGAAAAGCAAAACAAACGTAACTGTAAAACTACATTCACATATCCATTCAAATAATCATATTAGTAGTCAATCTACATTTACTT